AGTCTATTTCAAGGGCTGATGCTGCCGATGAATATTTAAATGAGAACACAGAACTGTCAGTGACTACTGTGTCACAACCTTTGGCGCTACACCTAATGCTGGAGGAGGAATAGCTACAAATTAATTTCAGAATACCAAGAGTCAAATGTTGATGTTACAACGTTGCTTGTGACTGACAGAGCTTACAAGGCATGCCATGAACGATAATAAATGCTAAAAACATTTGAAAATATATTCCTTCAAACACTGCTGACACCACAGAAAAAAGAAATGACCACTTCCTCTCACCCAACGATGACAGAGGTCAGACTTCACTACAGAGCAGAATGCCCGGAGGTGACAGGGAGTGCTTTCCATTCAGCTAATTACACTTTCTCCTGTCCTCACCCTCCCCCCCCTTCTTCTAGCCCTTGACCTGGAAAATAACCAAGGTCTTCATCAAAAGACGATACGTCTCGGAGAAGACGAGGAGCGTGGAACCACAGGGGTGTCCTATAAAGGCTTATCTGATAGGACAGAAAAGGAATAGACCGCAACATTGTTGCATAAATGAAATACTATAAATTGAGTAAATACTAGAAACAAATGGCACCAACATCAGCTCTAACCTTTTTTTAATATTTAACCAGAATCGCATATGAAATCAGCAAACAAATTTTATTTTCTTCCTTTCTGCTTTAAGTAAATCTTGGCTCAAGAGCGGCACAGTTGCAGTTATTAGTCCTGTAATATATCCAGCCTGAGCAGGATAAAGCTACTGTACCTGCAGCCTTTCACAGACAAATTGATCATTTTACTGCGCCATCTTGTCTGTTCCATTCTTTCAGCAATAAACACATTTATTTGTCCATTGGTGGCATTTATATCATGCCCTGACACAGCAATGGATCTGCAATTGCTACTGGAGCAGCAGCCTTCTCTTAAAAAAATGACCCTGAGAGAGCGAGGATGTCCCATTTGGTAAATACAGGACATTACCGTCTTTGCTGAAGGACAGTGAAGTCTTCACACAGGCTGGCACCCAGACACTTAGAGAAAACAGCAGCCTACCCAGCCATTACATGGCCCCGCAGCTCATTGGAAATGCTTCATATGTTGCACTTAGCAATTTTGTAAATGAATGCATCGACTTACTGAAAAGGAATCAAAAACATTCAGCAGGAGAAAATACTTTGAGATGTTAAGGATGCTGCTCGTTTTGGGCTCTTAATGCAGGACCATGTCATCAACAGAACAATTACACCGAGGAGCAGGTTGTCTAGATCTGGAAGAATCTCTGAGGCAACACGATTCAAATGATATAAACTAGGAAGGCGTCTGATAACCTCCTGAATGCTAAGCCTCATCCTTGCTCAGTCAAATCTCTCTCTGTGTGTGTGTGCGCATCACTACAAGGGGATTCAGTCCACAACACAATATTCATGAAGCCATGAACTGGAGGAGCCATCGGCCCACACAAGCTCCCTCAGTCACAACACACTCACACACCTACACACAATATGTACCAAGCACTCATTATCCACCCACATGCCTACATCCTCCACCGAGGAGGACTACCCGGTACGTTTCTGACACATAACAATATCCATGTTGATGCTGAGAGCATTCGGTGGTCTAAAACAAGTGAGTGAAACAAAGACTGAGCTAATAAAAGAAGATCCAATAAAACACAGGCTACTTTAGGCATGATACATGGCACCAGCCCTTTTGGCAGAGACCCAAGCATTATTTGGAGGTCCTATTCGGTTCTGAAATACGGTAGGTGGTAAAACAGTGAAAGGTGTGAATTATGGACTCCACCAGCCGCAGTGGCCAGTGGGCAAGATAGTTTCCTGCTCTGCTGCCAGAGCAGTAAATATGATAAAAGTGCACAATGTCATAAGAGAATAGCGCACTTCAGCTGAAGGAACTGCATTCTTCCATCTAGTTGTGAACTCACTCAGACGACATGCTTTGAACACCGAAGAGCAATGAATATCAAAAGGAATGAAAACCAGATTTACTTGCGAGTCCACAGAGCTGGTTTAAGTGCGCTGCAGTAAACGGGATTGAAAACTGAACAACAAAACACTCGGTTGGTCCAAAGTTACGGATGCAGAACAGTATGGAGGTAAAAAAAACAAACAGAGGATTGCAAATCAATAATCAGCACAGTTCTCTCACAAGGTAAGTAGCTCCCTCTGCTGGTTACATAAGAGTTCAACAATGTTGAGATCTGAGAAAAGAGTGAACTCTTGAGAAGCAGAGGGTTTCCAACAAAACGAGACAATTCATCATCTAACCGTGAAGCTCATATTTTAGTCCAAGTTCTGTTGAATATGAAAATCCTAACTTGTTTTCCCGACTTCCTATTATTAGTCATTAATACGGTTCCGTCCTCCAAGCATTACATTTGAAGAGTCCCTTCTGCGTGACGTCACAATAAAGAATCAATTCTGTGACTTCTAGTCAACAAAACTGTATTCAGCTTGAGCAAAGGCCTAATGCTCAGTGCATCGAACTTTGCTAAATGAAGAAATTAGATCTTGTTTGTATTAGTGAGGTATTTAATTGCTGTAATCGGGCACAGCAAATGAGTACAATAAATCTATAGGACATGTAATATCATGAACGGAGAGCTTGAGGGCCTCTGGGTGCAGCATTGTTTTGCTGCGTCTAAAAATGAGTTGCTTGGGGAAAACATCCACATATATTTTTAGTCCCGATAACAACACTCTATTTCTGCCATTGGCTAAAAAAAATAAAAACACACACACACACAATAGAGATTTTTTTACACCTAAGTGACTCCGATGACTTCAGCAACCTCTGTGTCTGTCAGTGTTGTATCGAGTCTGCAGCAGCCTCATGCTACTCTCTTGTACATGGAGAGCAATGGTTCAGCTGTTGCGTATTCTTGCTACATCTAGAATGTCAGTGCAGTAACCAATACATGTTGAGAGACACAAGTTCATCCAATTTGTTTGCTGTAGAAAAGTTACATAAAAACAAAGTTGAGACTTACTGCTCCTCGTGCTCCAGTTGGGAAAACCAGAATAACGAAACATGATACAGCTCAATGCCAATCGCATCCGGTTAAGTTATTGCTGCTGAGCATGAGAAGTCAACACGAAAAGCGACATCTGCCATGTAAGTGACTAATAAACGAGGATCAATAAGAAAGAATATCTCAGAGATTCTGTTGGGTTTGTCTTGACAAAAACTGGTATCAGAAATAAACTGCAGGTATATCATTATCATGGCAGTGATAATTGACAAAAATGTTACAGTATTTATGTATGACTGAGACGACAAGATAATTCTATATACAGACGCATGAAATCACATACAAAGTCTTTGCTGTGACACTCACTGCTGTTGCACTTGTAGGAGGGTCCGGGTTCTGCAGCAGACGGAGGGGATGCCGGGACAGAGGAACGTGAGGCAGACTTCTGTGGAGATGATGTCTTACCTGCAGGTTGAACAAACACCATAAAGAGACCTGCAGACGCTGTTTACTACCGTTACGAACTTCATGCATTTTAAAAGAATAATACCAGCTGTATTATACGGAGTGGGATTTCCAATCTTCCCTCCGGTTTTCTCGGCCGATTGCAGAACCTCCATGTCCAGCACAATCACCACATGCCTGGAAGAAAGTCACAATAATGCCAAAAGGGGAATTACATGCAACAAACAAACATGGAGTAGGGAGCAGGAAGTAAGAACATGCAAATGAAACCACATACCTGCCATCTTGCAATGTGTTGTTGATGGTCTTCTTCACCATACACACACAATTAGGTGCCAGGATGTTCTCTTCTGGCAGATAGTTTAATTGTGTGGCCAACAGGAAGGCTAGATACACAAACGCATACAAACATATTCATGTACAGCTAAAAAAAAAAAAGTTACGTATGCATTATTGGTACTTGATTATCTTCTGAGGTGCACATTTGCTTAGAGCTACCGTCGTTCTTTGTAATTTATGATATTACCCTTGTTAGATTTAACACACGTGTCTGTCAACTTGCTACCAAAAGGCCAAACCCACAGTCTGACGGTTTATTGGCTTCTGCAAAATACTCACAAGACCAGGAGTGCCTGCCATCACTCATCATGAGCCGGAACCTGGGCGGACCAGAACCACTGGTGACCTGACGGATGTTCTGACAAACACAGAGGGAAGGAAGGGTTGTATAAGTAAAACACTCATCATGACACTGGACATTTGACAGATCCATGAGGATGTATTCATTCTACCACACTGTGTACAAACCATATATAATCACAGTAATATTAAAGATAATCTTCATATAATTACATTCAGCTGAGAAGCTCTCTCAATACTTAATTGATTATCTTTGGATATTGATTAACAATAGAAATATTTCAATACAATAAAACTGGATTGTTTGGTAAAGTGGACTCTCAGAATGTACTTACCAGCAGCTGCAGCACGACATCAGTGTCCGCTTGTGAGCTGTTGAACAGAGCCTGGACAATAACACACATGGACTTGTTAGTTTCTCCTGCCTGGCCCCATCACACTACCATGCTACTAATGCAAAGCTACAGTACAACATCAATTAGAAAGATTCATGAAGTGCCAATTGTTTTGTACCACCCCTAGCAAGTAATGTTAAGCAGTAGTGGACAAACAGAGCGGAACTACATCAGACCGTCCTGGTGTTGTGAGTTATCTCATTAGCTGGCATTGCTAACAGCTGCAGCTAGCAGAGCCACACTGCTAAACACTATAGGCTGGTATTTCAAGTGCAGAACAAAAACAACGTTTATATTCAGTTGTGTACATATGTATGCTTACTTCAACTGCTCCCTCTGTGAGTTTTACACTCATGTCGCCCCGGTAAAGTAGCTCTCCAAGCAAGCAGACTTTGGCTTTATTTATGCGTAGTCGAGTTAAAGGTATGGAACCTATCGCGAGAGGAGCGATACAAACGATATTTCAACACCGGATATGGCACATTCGTGCCTTCAAAATAAAGGAGTACATGTGCACGGTAGACATGATGGCTCCTAATGTAAAATTGGAAAAGTAACTTAAGTTACCACGCTAATGGTACTTGAACAACACACTCGGAGGTATATTTTGATGGTTTTGGTGAGAAACTCCCTTTTCATTCAAGCTAACTTGATAGTCGTGCTCCGCAGACGCGCAACGGACTCGAAACAAACCCTGAACTGTCCACCGGCTACTCATGTGGCTTACTTGTAGTTCATGATGGATCTTCCGTGCGTTCAGTGGCAAGATCATGTTGCACAGAAATGGATCGGACTCGACCCCGAGCTGAAGGAAACATTAACGTCCCAGCTTGAAGTAGATGATCTTTTCAAATGTGCCCTAACTCTGACAACGTGAGTAGCTAACGTTAGCTTACTCCTCTAGTTTGTTGCTAATGAGTTTCCAGTTTATAGCCGATCGATCTGAATAGTTTAGATCAACTACTACGAGCAAGGGCGCTGTTTTTGATTGGACCCGTTTAAGCCATTTACATTATATTGACTTGAATTAGTTTGCAGAACTTGTCTAGGAATAAACAGTAAACCCACGCTTTCCTGCTGCTGGAGAATATTTGGAACATAGAGAGACAGTTTCTCTGTAGTTTGTCTCCGTTTCTGTTTCACAGCCAAGATGATCTGGACTTGGTGCGGTCGATCTCTTCAGGATACTCTGCACAGAAGGATGCAGAGCTAGCAGCCACATGCAGGGAGAAGGGGAACTGTAGCTTCAAGACCAGAGACTACCCTGCAGCCGCTCTGCACTATTCACAGGTGACGTGAAGATATTCTTCTATTGCTCAACATGAAAATATATACTTCAATGATACTACAATAACGCATTAAATCACGAGAAATGCCACTATTCAATTCTATGATATTATGGCTATAACTATAATAATGTGAAGATAATGTCCCTGTAAACCAGGGGTGTCCAAACTTTTTTCAAAGAGGGCCAGATTTGATAATGTGAAAATGCCCAAGGGCCAACAGTCCCTGCTGACATTATTTTAAACAATACAAGTAGCCTATAC